AGAAAACATTCTTAAAACATTCTTAAAACATTGCATTCAAATGTTTTATTTAAAACATTAACCAAACCTCTAGGGAATGTTAGCCAAAGTTCTGAGAACGTTCCCTGTTAGCTGGGACATTGCATGTGTAGTAACCCCCCTCAAAAATCATTAATTTTTTGGTTAAGGGCCATTTTAAAGACTACTTTTTATTCACTGCGTCTCAAGGCTGCATTTACACTGCAGGTCATAATGCCCAAATCCGATTTTTTTTGACTATATCCGATTTTTGCATTTGAAGAGTTCAGATGCAAAAGCCTCTAAATGCCATTTGAAATTTTCTTCTTTAATGATGATTTTTATCAAACTTGTATATTTAAGTTCAGTAATTTCACTTAAATAACAATTAATAGGTAATCTTCATTGCCATTTAAGTGAAATTACTGAACTTAAATATACAAGCTTGATAAAAATTATCATTTTAGAAGAAAATTTCAAATGGCACTTAGAAGCTTTTGCATCTGAACTCTTCATTTACACTATAAACTGCTGAAACCAAATGCAGAAGTTCTGACCCGGGAAATTAAGCAAAACAGCACGGAATTATGGATGCAGATGCAAATAAAATTATCCAGTGTTTTCTTTCCTCAATATTTCAATAAGTCATCAAAACATTGGTCTTGTACGGCGGAGAAAAAAAGAGGAGAGGCTCTAGCCACGACGAGCACTTAAAACGATGCCTCATTTCTCGTGAAATGTCTTCAAAAACGGATTTATTTCTGTAACAAACCTGCATTTTTGCCTGCACTCTTCACCCCAAACACTCAAAAGACATGAAACCTCCGCATTGCTCCACTGTGTGTATCCTTTCTTCCATCACGCCTATAATTGCGCACTTTTTTAATGACGTACAGTACGACTCGCATTACTGGGGAATATCCGATTTGTCTGCTTACATGGCACACGCAAATGCACGTATCCGATTCATATCCGATTAATTACCAGACATGAATGAGGCCTGAATCCGATCTGAGAAAATCGGAATCCATGCGTTTTTTCCTGCTTACACGTTCACTGGTCATATCCGAAAAAAATCGGATTTGGGTCATTTGAACCATGCAGAGTAAAGGAGGAGCATTCAGTCCCCTGTACATTTAAAGAAACAGTTCACCCAAAAATTGAAATAGTGTCATCATTTACTCAAAAATGAAGATTAGTTTTCCTGGGTGCTTTCTTCCAGTTCATAAAATAAAACTCAATTCACAATATCAGTCGGAATGACTGTTTCGCAAATTGGACTCATCCGATTCTCACTGACTCAAAGGATTTTTGTCGCTGAGAGTAACAGCTTTGGTCCTGTCCCAAATGGCACACTTCATGTGCACTTGTGATCTTGTAGGCTCACAACGGTACATGTGCCTGTTAAATCCGAAATCGCATACTTCCCTACTAAATAGTAGGCGAAAAACAGCGTGACAAATGTAATATGTCCGAATTCATAATGACCTACTTCTTCCTGAGAGATTCGATAGACACTTTACTATCCCATGAGGTCACGGGAGAGGATTTGTGAAAGGAGGTGACGCGACGTAACTGACGCTGGTAGGTCACATGATGACAACATGGTGGATGTAGTACGTCTGGATTACTTTCATACTACACACATTCATACTATATAGAACATACTTGTTAGTGGTCGTAAAGTAAATTACTTACTCAGAGTTGAGTAATTACTTACTGAAAATAAGTACCTACTCAAGAGAGTATGCGATTTCGGACGCAGGGTCTTCAACCCTACTCCTGGGCACCCACTGTCCAGCAAAGTGTATTTCCAGCCTGCTTCCAGTGATCCTGAAAATCTTGATTTGCGACTTCAGGTTTGTTTGATTATAGGGTTGGAGCTAAACTCTGCAGGACGCTTGTGTTCTCAGGAGTAGGGTTGAAGACCTCTGCCATATGGTGTCCCATTTTCATTTTAGTTTTCTTTGCGGCGGATATGCAACCCTTGATTTTCACTTTTGCAGAGCCCGAAAATGACATCACATGGACAGTGACCGGACCGAAATATAAATTGTGCTTTAGAGTTCCATTTGGGACAAGGCCATAATGCTGGGAAAGACTTTCAGTAAATTATGACGTAAATTACGGTTTGTTTCTTATGACCTCCGCATACGGTGTACAAATATACCTAATTACATGATATTTAGTATGCGAAAACAGTACATCAAAAGAGGATACTCTTAGAAGAAAAGGTTCTATATAGAACAATAAAGAGTTCTTATAGAACCTTTTAGGGGTTCCCATCATGGGATCATTTTACGAATTTAGTTTTAATTCATTTTGAATTCAATCCAAACGAGGTTCCTACTAGACAGTATGCAAGTATAAGTCACACCAACCCAATCTGACAGCAATTTGTACGAATTTTACAAGATGGCTAATTCGTAACAATTCGTGCGGCCTCACTTGTACGAATTAGTACGATTTTTGCTAAATCGTACATATTTTACGAGTTGCCCATGAATGAATTCATACGAATGACAAACCCCTGACCCCGCCCCTAAACCTACCCATCAAGTGGGTTTAGACAAATCGTACAAATTCGTACGAGTGAGGTCATACGAATTTGTACAAATTAGCCACCTTTTAATCACTCGTACAAATTCGTACGAATTGGTCGTGAGATGGCGTTGGTCACACGGACTACATTTATGATGATATTTTAGTGCCTTTGCATCCTTTTTGACGCATTCAGTTCACATTCAATTTGATTGCGAAATAAGGTCAAACAGGTTTGGAACCACATCAAGGTGCGTAAATGATAACACAAATTGTATTTTGTTGTCGAACTATCCCTTTAAGGTGACAAAACCAGTTGGGTGATTAAAAGATAAAACTGTTTTTTAACCGCCTCTCTCTGAGATTGTTTTGGAAAGTAGAGAAAAGGAAAGAACTGCATTTTTGTCCCTCTCTCTCACGTCCTGTCCCCCAGTTTGTGGCCTTTTGCTGGCGTCCCGATAGGTTGTGTAACTGAATTTGGCTGCTATGCTTACCTGTTTTGCAAAGTAATCAGTTTCAGTGAGTTGCTGAGTATGGTGATATGTGAGAGAAGGCTGGCTGGGAGGGAGCGGAGTTTGTCTGACACCTGCCTCCCAACAGCAAGCTTAAAGATCCTCTGTTTTCTCTCTTTTTCTCTCACCCGCTCTTACTATCTCTTTCTTTATTGAGGTTAAATTCTTCTGCAGGATTACAGGTTACCTCAGGGGAATGCAGTTAGCTGAGCCACGGCTTCTTCTTTTTTTTTCGTGTTGAGTGATAGGGTGGCTGAAAGGGGCTTAATCACACAGCAACCACAGGCTCTGTGGATCAACACTGAACCTTTCTGAGCATGTTCACAGAAAGCACACTCAATAAAAAAACCCGATAAAAGCACCCCGAAATGCCTCGCGGGGCAAAAAATCCTGCCATAGAGTTCATAAAGCCAGTCAAACTGTGAACGAATTCAACTCTGAGGTAAATTAAACAGCATTTACCCGAGGAGAGCAGGCGTACGTACATGTGTTTGAACAGCATGAATGTGTCACAAAGAGCTCCATTCATCCATCTCCTGAACTATAAGCTGAATGTCTCTCTATTCAAAGCGAAAGTCAGGGTTAAGCTCCTCTCACATGTATATGTATTTCCTTGAGTAAAATGTGACTCATAGCTGACCCTACTCTTTACAGATATCAACCTGGCTGTGTAAATTTGCCAGCGCTACTGCAATGCTTCTTTCTTAACACACTGAATAGGTCTTGAAGATGTTTAGCTTGGTTTGTCTGAACCATGTTTAAATGGGCCACATCTACAGGAACCACTTTTTTAAATAATATTTTGAGATAACATTTAAACTCCCAGTTCAAAAAGACGATATAACTGCATTATGATTATTTTTGCCACACAAAACAGACCATATCAGCACATTCCAGCCCGTTCTCCTCATTTAGCGTCATATAGGTGGCGCTATATGACGAAACGGCAAAATACTGTGCACATGGCACCTTGTATCGTTAAAATAAAACGCGAACCCAAGGCATCATAAATCCTTTAAGATTAATATGAGACTACCCTATGCTACCCCACACCTGAACCTACCCATCACAGCGCGTGTTATATGAACAATAACGGGTGCCATGTGCGTATTTCGCCGTTTTGTCATATAGCGTCACATATGACGCTAAAGGATGAGAATGCGTTGCACATAGCGACGCTTTTGCCAATGCGTATACATCCAAGGCACATGGCACCCTTTAGCGTCACTATAACACGCTTCGGTTATGGGTAGGTTTAGGTCTGGGGTAGGGATAGGGTTAGACCACTAGGAGGCGCCTTCTGGCCCATATATATATCTGCATCTTATATTGACGCTAAAGGGTGCCATGTGCGTTAGATGTAGACGCAATGTCAAAAGCGTCAGTATATGACGCAGTGCACTTATACTACCATTGTAGAGGTGTGGGGGTGCTACCACAGAAACTGAAAATTGTCGGGACAGCAGCATCTGTCTAAAAAACAATCTTAACCATTCTATTTCATCAGAAACGATCTTAAAACAGGGCTTTAATTGTAAAATACCGAACTTGTCCTTTAAAAATATACTTGAATACACTAAATGAACTTATCATTTACCCATTAGAATTAAAACTCAAATTGATATTTTTTTTTCTAATGAAACCTAAGACGTTTCTGCACTGAAAGCTTGAACTTATTTTGTACTATTTACAGTCAGCGAAAGTATAAAAAGTAAATAATATTTGATAAATCTCATGACATGCCCCATTACAAGATAAACCCCTCTTTTATTAAGCTTTTATCCAGTGTGTGCCATTTAAAAAAAAATGTTTCTCATTAATTTCATGTGTTTTAATATAGAAAAAAAAAACTGTTTCGGGGAAAAGGTATAAAGGTGCTGGAGCAAGTCTTAGATTGAATCAATGTCTCCATAGTGAACTGACTGTTCTCATCTCTGTGTGTTTCTCTAGGGTCTACTCTGTGCCAGTAGAGCAAGGACAGAAAGCTGCTGTCTAACCGTCAGGGCCTTTTCATTTCCTCTCTCCACTGGATCCTTTCAGGGACGTGCCGCAAGCGTGTGATTTCTCATCCCAGCGTATCTATATCTATAGCGGATTCTATAACGTCCGTAGACCAGAGTGTGTTGCAATCATTAATTTTCTACGAATCGTTTTAAATGCACAACGTGTAGCATTCCTGCACAGATGCCATATGTTGCACTCACAGAGAAAGTCCCTGAACTGTGTAAAACAGCTCATTGGACATTTTCCCTCTCCACCTGCAATATTTTTGTATTTAAACCAAGTTCAGAACCTTTCTTAAAGGTGTCGTGTGTAATATTTTTTTCTTCTAAAAACGAACCCATTCATAGTTGTTTTCCACACACAGTACCTGTTTATTTGAACACCCTGACACAACAACATTGGCTTAACCAATGGCGTGAGTTTGGGGGCGGGACTGTCTGTTCGACTAGCCTATGGTAGACAAGCTGCAGCTTTAAGCAAACATTCTCCCGTTTTTCTTTCCAGTACTCTAATGTTAGCGGTCCCCTGTGCGCTAAAGTAATAAAGCTGGTCTCCATCGCTCTGATTATTTGACAAAATAGAGAAAGAAGCGGAGAGAGAAATGCGAACACGGTGAATTAATCAACTTCTCTAAATGATGTTGTTTTCTTTTTCCTTTTCTTTCACGGCGGACAACTCTTCTAAAGCACTGCAGATTGTAAATAGCTCTGGGTTGCTGGGTGGCAGATTAAAGTTTCATCCTGTTAGCTTTAATGGGGATGGAGGCAATCCGATGGGTGGGCGAATAAGGATTTGAAAGACACACAACCCCTCGTACAGTGGGCGTCCAAAAGTCTACTAGTGAAGTGTTTAGCATGTTCCTTGTCATAAGATTATCAGCATAACAGCATAAATTAGTGTACCAGCAAAAGTGCTGAAGTATATTTTCAAGTTTAAAGCTACACTGTGTCATTTTTATCCCATCTAGTGGTGAAAAGGTATATGACCATCCAGTGAATATTAGTTTCTGTTCCTCTCAATTCCGATTTCGTTTTAACTCCTACGGTGGCCAATGTAGTCCAAGATTAACATGGCTTCCAGTTCGACCTCGTCCATGAGTGTTAACTCAAACGTAAACGCGAAAGGCGAAGCTTGAATTAACGGGTATGTCCCTCTTTGGCTAATGTACTTTCAAGATGGCGACCGACATTAGAACCCCTTGCCCGTATTTATTTTCAATGGCATATTATACAATCACGAGAATACTTTATTACTTGAACGAAGTAAATATACATGAGCACATATACTTTTGAAAAAACTAAGTGTTTTAGCTAAGAATAAACTAAAAAAGTTACACAGTGTAGCTTTAAATTCGATTTTGAATCCCACGTCTATTTGGCCCCTACCGTACCTAAAGCATCATCGATTTAAACTAAGACACTATAGTGAGATTTTTACTTTTATCTTCCTCTTTCTGTCGCTCACTATTCTTTTCTCCTTCCATTTTTTAGATTAAAATAGAAATCAATAAAAGCCCTTTAAATCTGCCCGTTTTTAGTCTGAAGACGAGTATCTCGGCTCTTTATTCTGAATTTACACAGACATGCTAGCAAACACTTCTTTCAAATGTCCTGTTAAATGCTTAGTTCACCCAAAAATGTATGTATGACTTCACCTGAGGATGAACATTCGGGGTCCAAACAACACTGGACCCCATTGACTTTTACTATACCCAGACATCAACCAGATCTGGGCCAACACTATGTTGCTTTCTGGGTATAGGCATAAAATCCTATATTTTGTGTGTGTGTGTGTGTGGGTGTGTGTGTGTGTGTGTTCCACATAAGAACATAAGTCAAACAGTTTTGTAATTATTCAAAAATGACTAAACTTTCACTTTTATGAAATAACTGTCTGCCCACCCGGCATCTGTGTGTGACAGAGGAGGGCTGCTAACCCACATCTCTAAAAGCGTTTTCATTTCTTTTCTAGCTCTAATTTCTCTTTGATTACCAGCTTTTTTTTTTTCTTCTGCTTGCTGGTTTTCTATTTAAATCTAAATGAAATCCAATCTTGCGTGCATCAGACAGCTTGCGCTTGTTACTTTGATGCGTGTGGGCGTGTATAAAGGTATTAGTCTGTAATATTAATCAAGATTTGCAATATATCTATTCTGGTAAACCATTCGTTTAAAAATGTGTCAGATAACTGGAATTGGGAAAGCAGACTAAATAAATAATTCTAGCATTTCAGCTGCATGTTTTGAATCAATCCTTTTTTTTATATAGATGTATATTAAAAACTGTTGGGCTTCATTAACTCCAACAACTTTCTCTTGAGCAGGTTGCTTTATTCCATGGGAATAAATAAATAAATAAAATGTGTGTTTGATATTCCCCCATTCCCCCAAGTAACTCCACAAATGAATCAGCAATGCAAGATAACCTTCAGCTCACATAGATTCACATTTCAATTCTGTTACTAGTTTCTCTTAGTTGATGTAAGAATGGAGTGGAAAGTGCAGATGCAGATTTTCCTTTTAAAAGTGGCTCTCGACAGCCTTTGAAGGGAAAATCATAAGAGATTGTTTTGTATTTCCTGTCAATGGAGGCTATTTCTGACATCAGCGCTTATTTTCTTTCATGTTATGTAAGGTATTCTGTCAGCAAAAACGTATATGTATGACTTTCGGAGTACATTTGACCAGCAGTTGGATAATGTAGTAGTATACAACACTCCAAGTACCTGACCACTGCTAACCATTACTGTTATTCATGGGTATTTGTGTGATTTACTGAAGTTTAAATGCTATTCACTGCTGTATATATTTTATAAGACAACCTGTCATCTATTTGTTGTATGAGACTTTTATTTTAAATAAATATTATTGTTCTCAACTGTGCTATTATGTTTTTGATTTAGGAGGATGGCAAACATGAAATAATTATATAAATCTGAATATATAGATACAGCTCGGAATATATATTTAAATTCTGAATATAATGTTATAACTCTAAATATATAAATGTAAATCCGAATATATAGTTACAAATCTGAATATATAAATGTAACTGAATATAGTTAGAACTGAATACATATGTAAATAGTTATAACTCTGAATATGTAAATCTGATTATATAGTTATAACTCTGAATATATAATTATAACTCTAAATATATACATGTAAATCTGAATATATGTAGATTATGTGTGTGTGTGTGCGCATGCGTGTGTAAATCCTGGATATAGTTATAAACTCTGAATATATAGTTATAAATAGTTATAACGGTAACACTTTACAATACGGGGGCACTAGTATACATTGATTAATATTTAACTAATGCACAGATAATCATGAGTAAATGTATAACTCATGAAGAATTAAACCATTAATTAATAATTACTGCATCAGCAACTAATAAAGAGTCTATATGATTAATAGATTAACTAACATGAATTGCTATTAATTCAATTATTGTGTATGAATTCCTTAATAACATATTTTATTAACTAATAGCGTAAATTAATGTGTTAATTACCACAATTAGTCAAAGTTATGCACTTCAACTTCCAGTTGTCTGCTTTAATTAAGCTAAAGCAAAGGCATCATTATGTTATGGCTTTACTTGTTGGGGCACATCATTATTAACTAGTCATTCCGTAATTGTAGTAATTTGCACATGAATTTGCACTAACAATGAAGTAATTAATCATGTATTAATGCATATAAGTGTACCAGTCATATTATCAGGGAGTTGAAATACAAGGCTTTGGCTCATTCTGGTAATTAACATATTAATTCACACTATTAGTTTAAAAAATGAGTTATTATGGAATTAATCCACAATTACATATTTAATTAATAACAATTCATGCATGAACTAATACATTAAGCTTACAGACTCTTAATTAGTTCATAATGTGGTAATCATTAATGAATAGCTTAGATAATCATTAGTTACACCTTAATTCACTATTATCTGTGCATTAGTTAATGCGTATTAGTGCACCCGTATTGTAAAGTGTTACCGTTATAACTATATAGTCAGGATTATATAGATATATATTCAAAAATATATTTTGCGGTATATTTCATTTTATGCAATATGGAAGAAACAAACTTTTTTAGAATTTGCATGTTCAATATTGAACACCTTGCTCTGTTTTCTGATACACCAATGGTAAATATCACAGAGAGATGGTTTTGACATTTTCATTTTCCCTGACATCATCGTATAGGCTACTCATTTTCCACTGCGAACAGTCCAACCGAGCTCATGCGAAATAAGTAAATATGAAACGTATCCCTTATTTTGCTGTAATTTTTCACAAGGACAAGATGTAGATGTTGAATTGTGATACATGAATCAGAGTCAAATGGTTTTTATTCTCTCCTCTTGGGAGAACTCATGATAAATGTGTCTGAAAGCCTCTTGAGGGCGCTTGCGAGCTACACAACGCCTCCAATTCCAAATGATTGACACACCTGAGGATGCACATATTGAAATAATAATAATAAAACACAAGTGCAGGCCTGTGTTGTACAAAGTTTGATGCTTAAACAGAGCAGTTTGGTGCAGGAGAGCAAAGGGATGAAGGGATTTTGTGTCTGAGAAGCGTGATTACGTTGGGATCTGCCGGAGTCTCAGCCGGTGTGTTACCGTTGGTGTTTAGTGCTGCACGAAAGCACATATCTTATTCCCCGGCGTTTCAATGTGACAAACCCGGAGATCAGTTGGAAATAATGAACACGTTCACACACACACACACACACACACACACACAACCTCTCCATCTTGTATTTATGATGTTCTCACAAAGGGGGAAATGTAAGTCTGTAACCGCTGTCGGAACAGGTCTGACTGGCTCCTTTGTGTTCTCCTGCTGTTCTTCTGTTTATTGGAGAGCCGGCTGATCAGAGTGTTAACTTCTGGTCACCACATATGAACTAGTCACAACGAAAAAAAAAAGAAAAAAAAAAGGTTAAAAAGAGGGAAAACAAAGGTTTTTCAAAGCCAATAAGTCAGTTTAAATTAAATCAGTTCACTTAGAAGTCATTTTGATCATTCATTAAGGCATCTTGTATCTATGTAAGAAACAACAGCTATGTAAAAAAAGCTACAAAACTGAGAAAACTAGGAAACTGATGTCCAATTTGAATGACGTATTTTTACCCATAACAAATCTCATTTGTGATCAGATTTTTGCACTAATAATAACTGCCTGTATTCTCTTTTGTCATATCAACTTTATAATAATTTATTTAGTTGAGATAACTTATTATTTTGAGTTTCTGATGGTTAAATTAATCTACTTCATTGTATTAACTCACTTTTTCCAGTTCAATCAACTTAAAATGTTAAGGCAACCTGGTTACTTACTTTTTTAAGTTAAACCAACAATATTTTTTTTACAGTGCTTTTATTGAAATTGGCATGATTTTTTTTAAGCAAACCAGGTTATTATTATTTTTTTTTAATTAAACCAACAATATTTTTTTATAGTGTATATATATATTTTTTTTTCTTTTTCGAATGGCGTTCACTTGCATGTACTTCACAGAAGAAATCCTTTAAAAATGTAAGTTCATTGAATTGGAACAATTGAGTTAATACAATGAAGGGAATTGATTTAATCACCAGAAACTCAAAATATTATGTTATCTGAACTACATAAATTATCTAAGTTGATTTGACAAATGAAAAAAATGTTGTGATTACAAATCATGAAAATATTTTTTTTTACAGTGTATATAGTGCAGTGATTTTGTCCATCGGGAATTGATTGGATTGATATGATTTCCTATTGGCCGATCTCATGTGAGTGACAGGTTGCCCCGCCCTCATGCCAGTAAACACATCATCAGAGAAGAGAAGTTGTTGGAAAAGGGAGGGGAAGCTGTTTTCATTTAAGATTTCATGGTAACTTTAAAAGTGTGTGCACAATAACTTCTTGCTTGCAAAATGTAACCTTCCCTCCAATGTCTTTTAATTTAACATTATGGCCCTTAGGACATTAAATATTTAATTAAATAAAGCATAAATCATCTGTTAAAGCAGGTTTTCACATCACATTTCTTTCCAAGTAAAGCGTTACCGTTTCAAACTATTTGGCAAAGAAAGAAAATTATACCCTTTTACCTTAATAGTCGAGACCATTTGAAGGCTCTTTTCAAAGAGAAGCATGTCATTACTCTTCTCTTACATTACTAAAATTATATACTGTTTTGTTGTCTCTCTTGCACAAGTCAATTCAGTTGACATTCTGCCTATGCAATTGCTGTGTATTTTCATTTTTAAATTTTCATTTTAAAGTGGCACAGAAGGGTGTATAATAAGCACATTAAAGTTAATCTGTTTACTTTCATCATATGTGGCAAGATTAAAATCATGTGCTTTGGAACAATCTATATAAAATCCCCAATGCCATCTAAACACAATGAAGTCTGTAATGATTATAAAGATACATCATGAAGTTACAAAAGAGGTCAAATGTTATTATTAGTTACCCAATCATTGTATGCGTTCAAGTAGCAGACAATGAATATGTAGAATAGCATACTACTTTTAATATTGCTGCAGTATGTAGCGAGTATTCTATGCACAATATGCTAATATATGCATGTGCATTTGTAACTTAGTAGGCTACCTTTGCTTAAATAATCAGTTTTACAGGAGAGCTAACAGCATGGACTCCTGCATCCCATAATATGTGTAGTTAGTATGCCATTGGCTTGAGAGATTTTGCTCACCTTCCTTTGCCAATTCGACACCGTGGGATTCGTTTAACTTTGCCACCTTTCAGTCGAAGGAACAATGGAAAAAAAAGTGAGGAAAGGTGTTTGAGAAATTGAAACGTGACTGTTCAAAGCAATCATGTCTGAAACTTGAAGTTGGGTTAACTCACAACCAAGCACCAAGATTCCCATCACGAAAAGAATTGCAGCAATAATCAACCCTCCTTGACGCAGAGATGTGTAATCTGAAAAAAAAAAAAAAACAAACATCATGTTATGCATAAATCAAACACGCAAACCTGGTCTAACAGTCAGAAAACACATAAAGTCGCATTCATTTTAATTCATTCATGTTTGTGTGAGGATGTCGTGGGAGACTTGAAATCATCAAGTGCAAAAGTCGGGGTTATAAACATTTTTAACTTTATCGCATTCAGAAATAATAAAACATTTATGAGCTTCCTCATCGTTTAAGACTGAATTTCATCATATCATATCGCACCCCAAAATCATATATATAGATATATATATACAAAAAAATCATGAAATATATATGCATTAATATTTGGGGAATTTGCATCTGTATTAAGTCATTATTTAGTATGTTTAATAAGCTCTTTTCCCGAGGGACTGTTGTCTGTTAGCTAATTCCTGGTTTTACCAACCCGATCTCACGACCAAGTCGTACGAATTCGACGAATGATTAAAAAGTGGCTAATTCGTAACAATTCATACGACCTCACTTGTACGAATTAATTCGATTTTGCTAAATCGTACATATTTTACGAATTGGCCAATTCGTATGAATTCGTACGAATGACCTACCCCTTACCCCGCCCCTAAACCTAATCATCACGTGGGTTTAGACAAATCGTACGAATTAGTATGAGTGAGGTCGTACGAATTAGTACGAATTAGCCACGTTTTAATCATGCGTCGAATTCCTATGAATTGGTCGTGAGATAGTGTTGGTTTTACCATCCTTACTATGCGGGAGCATTTGGTATCCACAAAGCAAAACCTCACAATCACACACACACACTCTCTCTCTCTCTCACACACACACACACACGCTTTGAAGTAACAGTGAGCATCAACCAGCATAAAACACCCTTAACTGATGACTGGAACATTCAGGCACTTCTAAATCTCAGTTCCTGGGGAATGAATGCAGAACAGAGGCATCTACGGGTCACGGCTAATGAGGATATTTCTTGAACATCAGATGCCCTGTAGCTGCCCTAACAATAGGAAGTGATTGAAACAGCGACTGTCGCCAGGTCATAAGCTTTCAACTACAGCACTTGAGACAGTAATAGCGCTCATGCTCGGCACGTCTGTGCTTCTTATAAACACAATGCTTTCCACTGACAGGGAGATGGAGTTCCTCTGGTCTTTGTGTGCGGACGCACTGTCAGCGGCTCGTACGCCACTGTACCCGAAAAGCCAGCAGACAATTAACACCTTAACTGCAGAGTTGAAACTGCCACATTTCGTGATTAGTTGCTACACGAGACAGGGTTTGTTAACTAAAACGCTGCGTCCAAAATATCCCTACTTCCTTAGGCGAAAAATAATGTGCAAGCTGAGTCGTATGTCCGAATTCACAGAATTAAAAAACAACAAGAGAAAATTGCTCGGATGACCTGCTACTTCTGGCAAGATTTTGAAGTGTGCAATCGATGGACATTTTACCATCCCATGAGTCTACAGGAGAGGATTTGTGGATGAACGTGAAGCGACGCAACTGAAGCCATTTCGTAGGACACATCATGACAGTAGGGACTTTAAAGTCCCCCTGTGGTGAAAATAAAGTGTTTAACGTTGGTTATATATGTCTATGTGGTGTTTTCAATATGCTTTAAGACAAACCATGTGCAAATTCGTAAGTCAACACCATTGCTGAGTATTTTCTCCTTAAAAGTTCAGTGAACCAGTGTAAAGTTCAGTGAATCTCTGTGTAAACAATGAGTGACGTACACGCGCAAACGATCACTCCATTGGACATGATTCAGTTTGGTTCAGTTGGACATCTGATTCAGATCAGTTCAACATAGCTGTTAACAAGAGGTAAAAACGATATAAATACTGTTCGTTTTCTCACACAAACCGCTCGTTTCGTGTCTTATGCCATCAATTTGTACTTACATTTACGAGTCATTAAATCATGTTTAATTTGGACTTCTTTGACACCTACATCTTGGGTGCCCTTGAGGTAAGCTAAAACATATCAAAAATTAATTTCAAAGTGAACTATCCCTTTAACAGCCGCAAAGTAAGTTTCAAATCAAATATAGTACAGTAGCTACCTACTGTAAAGTATGCGATTTCGAAAACTATTAAGACATTTCTGTTAATCAAAGTAAAGCTGACATAAAATAAAATGTAAATATTAGTTGATAAACTTAAACTTAATGTAAATTTGAAATAATGCATTGGCAATAAATTGAAATTTAAGTTCAAGCACAAAAATTATTAACAGGAATTGCATAAAAACTAAAGACTGGTAAAACTGATATAATTAAATTAAACCTACACAAGGAACTTAAAAAAAAAAAAACATGAGATTGCTAGAAATGAAAGAAATCAAACTGAAATTAAACATAAAAAAAATAAAACAGCTAATTCAAAATATTAAAACTGTAAAATAAATAAATAAACACTAACATGACGCTGCCACAATATCACAAAATATTTGGTCTATTAAGTGTTGTTATTTTTAACCCAAACAACATTTAACTATTAACTGTTAGTGAATGAGTTAGAACTAAAACTAAAATAAATAAAAAATATATTATATATTTTTCTAAACGAATAGAAATGCCAAAACTACTGAAAATATTTAAAAAAATCTACTTTAAATTGGTACTAAATGCTATAATAGTATAAATAATACTAAAACAACACTGTGATCAGATTACTGTGGTGTTTTACCATCCATCACGTGTGAATCAAAACGTTCAATCACTTAAAAACGTTCTAACACACCTCTTCCCAAAAAACATGATTTATAATGTATCATCCACGTCTGTAGCACAATCGGTGTGGGGGTGATTTACAGGCAAACGTTTAATGCTTCAAGTGAGGGGTTCCAGTGGTAATTGTGATGTCTGCATTAGTAAGCACTATTAATTACTGAATGATTAAATAGATACTTACTGTAATTAAAGGGCTCATCCCATCTCTTATCTGTTGAGAAAAACATACAAATGTAAGTTTTCGCATAATAAACAAGATCTGAAGACTGCCTATAAAATGTAAATGGACTCTATCATTTTTATGATATGCAAAATAAGCTACTAGAATATGTGTGGGTGTGTGTTGGCATATTCGTGTTCACTGTGATGGATCCATGACCTGCTGCTTCTAATAGGATGACACAATTAGAGAACTTTTCCTTTCACCCGTCCACCTTAAATTACCTCCAACACAAATATATATGATCCAGTCAGGGTTGAGCCAATGGGATGATGCTTATGCAAATTACTTAATGACTTAATGGTAAAAAAGCAGTGGAGAGAGACTGATATGGGTCATTCATATTTTAATATTATGCTAACGCCATGATGGAATTTAAAGGGATGTCTAACCGGAAAAGGATGTAATGAAAAATATGCCATCATTTATTCACTATCATGTAAATTCTAACTAATTGTTTTTGTTTGAATTAATTAATTATCACTACCAAGAAGATGGTGACTGGCGGACCATTTTGGTACAGTGAACTCATTGTCATGTTCAAGAAACCAATTTGAAATGATTCGAGCTTTGTGACATGTTGCATTATCCTGCTGGAAGTAGCCTTCAAAGGATGGGTACATGGTGGCCATAAAGGGATGGACATGCTCAGAAACAATGCTCAGGTAGGCCGTGGAATTTAAACGAAGTCCAATTGGCACTAAGGGGCCTAAAGTGTGTCAAGAAAACATCCCTCACACCATTATACCTCCACCACCAGCCTGCACAGTGGTAACAAGGCATGATGGATCCATGTTCTCATTCTGTTTGTGACTCTACCATCTGAATGTCTCAACAGAAATCGAGACTCATCAGACCAGGCAACATTTTTCCAGTCTTCAACTGTCCAATTTTGGTGAGCTCTTGCAAATTGTAGCCTCGTTTTCCTATCTGAGAGGAGATGAGTGGTACCCGGTGGGGTCTTCTGCTGTTCTAGCCTTTAGGTGAGTGTATATATATATATATATATATATATATATATATATATATATATTACTGGCACAAGGGGAAACTGCCACCTTCAATATATCAATTTATTATGAGTGAAGATTCATTATAAGCAGAAGTTGAGGAAGATGAGAAAGTTTACCCCACACAGTTACTTTGGTGGTGGTGGTGGTCGTGGTGGTTTTGACGGCAGTCGCTATGAGAAAAAGAGAGGGAGAGAAGGTCAGGGAAAAAGACAAGGAGAGAAACCTAATCTAGCATGTACACTCTTTCCTCAAACCTCACAAAATTGTGAATAGGAGTGAGCTTTTGAATCCTGTTTTTGTCCATAAATGTAAGTTGACAGCAAAGACTTTCGGAGTGAAAAGCAGACGCTTCCCCTTATCTCAATCCTATGCATTTGTCCGTAATTGCCTCTAATTAAATTCCAGCAGAACTCGTTCTCTGTCCGGCCCTGTCTTTCAAATTCAATTCTTGCATATTTCAATGGCACCACTCTCCCAGGATATATGGTTGGTTGATTCTTCATAAAGCATATCAGCTCTCCACGACAGTGCTCCGCAATCCCGCGGAAAATGCCGCATTATCTTTAAGCCTCTCAGCATGGAAAGAGCGTTAAACATTTTCTAATTACCTGCTAATTAGTTTCTAAGTTATGTGTGCCCTTGATATGAATTGCATGAGTAAAGAGGAAGCCTCTCAGCTATTCATGCAATCCTCGGCTCGGTTACCCTCCCCCAATCCCGCAATCCCACACTGAAAATCCTTCTGTTTGAGCGGGTTTTACCGAAGCTGTACATGTACTTCAGTCAAAGCTTACGCTGTGCGGCAGACGTCTTGTTGGGGGTCACGGCGGAGGTCACAGTTGAGATGTTTGTGTTCGCCACAGGTACGGTGAGGTTTATCTGCTGTGGACTCATTGTCACCCCTGTCGCATTCAGGTTAACTGGAGGAACGAGGAGAACACTTTTGTGATTGAATTGCATTTGAGATTTGAGACGGTTATATAAATCGAAACAAACAACCCTGGTTCATTATGCCATCAGAAATCAATTCTTTCTGAGACAGATCAAACTTTATGAATGTTATCAAGGTAAGGGAGACCAGGGAATGTCGTTACACATTGTGTACTTGATCTGTAACTCAGTTTAGCTCTATTGGAAACACTTTCAGATTCAAAACAGCAAACAAAGCATAAAAAAAAAGAGATAACAATTCTATAACACATATTAGGGAATCCTGGGATTGCAATGCAGGGAAATACAATTAAAGTCCTACCATGACCCATGGGTCCAGTGGTGTTGGACAGAGGTGCATCACTTTCTGGTGGCGTTGCGGTGGTTTCGGTCACATTCTCAGCAGCATAATCTTCACAGACAGAAAAAGACACACATTTTTGCTTTGTTGAGTAAAATAAATCATCTACTTCTTTAAAGAAAAAAGTTTGGGTGGAGAAATCTTGTGTAGGTGACTATCTATACGTCTGGTCATTTGGATGCTGATCATGCTCTCACATATTCTGGAGTTGCCTTAAAGAAAGTTTTCTGGGATACTGTTCAAGATCTTGGGATATTGATTTCCCTGGGGAATTTTCAACAATGTGCCTTGGCACCAATTCAAATATTATTTTGAAGGCTGATTGCTATCTTATGATATTATTTATAGTGTCTAAAAAGACCAGAAAAGGGGCATTAGCGAACCCCCTATCTATTGAATGGATGAACTGACTTATAATTTTAAAACTTAAAAAATATGAGTTTCAAAGTAACAGTGAGAAATTAAAGGTGTTATATGAATACGAAAAAATAAAAAAAAATAAAAAGATAATAAAGAAGACTCCAAACAAAATATTGTGAAGTTTAAATGCATACATTTGTGTATTATAAACAATGAGGGCTTAAAGGAGTAGTTCACATTAAAAACACTTTTGCTGATAATTTACTCACCCCCATGTCATCCAAATGTCATTCTTTCTTCAGTCGAGGTTTTTGATGAAAACAAACATTCCATGATTTTTCTCCATATAATGGACTTTATTGGTACTGTACCAAACGGTTCAAGTTCCAAAAGACACTTTCAGTACAAACTGCAAACTGTTCAAAGGGTTAAACGATTCCAGACGATGAATAAGGGTCTTATCAAGTGAAACGATCGCTCATTAATAACACAATTTATGTTTTATAAGCTCAAATGGTCCACTTGCTCTGATCTGTGATGCATGTTCGTGACTCTCCTGTGAAATGACTCTCCTCTGAGAATGACTCAAAATGAATGAAGTGTCTTATGCAAGTGAACAAAATGAATCGATCGAGTGCATCACAGAACAGAGCAAGGCGACCATTTGAGCTTATAAAACTTAAACTTTGTTATTTATTTATTAAATGAGCGATCGTTTCGCTTGATAAGACCCTTATTCATCATCTGGAATCGTTTAAAGCCCTTTGAGCAGTTTGCATTTTGCACTGAAACTGACTTTTGGACCTTGAACCATTCCCATTGAAGTGCATTATATGGAGAAAAATCCTGGAATGTTTTCAACAAAAACCTTCATTTCTTTTCGACTGAAGAAAGAAAGACATGGACATCTTGGATGACATGGGGGTGAGTAAATTATCAGCAAAAGTAAAAAAAAGAAAAAAAGAAAGTGAACTAGGCCTACTCCTTTAAATACAGAGTAATCAACGGAAAACAGAACAGGTGCTTAAATCAATTAACAACCAAGGAAACTAACGATGACTATATTATACTATAATTATAATTATATTATATTAACCTTAAACTGTCAAATTAAGAATAAATATATATGGGCCTATTACAGAGGGAGTGAGCGAGAATGTGATAGGCTGTGTTCAGTGGCACTCTCATTAAGACCGTACATCTGAGATTGTCACAAGACGATATGAGATTTATTTTTTTATAGAGCATAACCAACATCTCCATCTGACACCATAATGACTTATGAGTGTTTAAATAACACATTCAGCACAATGATGGTGGCTGGCTTCACAGTTCAAGATTACACATGCAGCAGATGAATGCAAATGTATTCTGAGTCTGGCATAATAACAGCGTGGTGATGTAGAGTGCAGTGGTTTGTAATGAAGGCCGGCCTCTCATAGACCCTGCCACAGAACAAGGACTAATTGTGGTCTAGCAGAGATGAGTCGCAGCATTTTTTGTGTGCATTTTCCGGCTACGCAGTTTTTCCAATGAATCCCTTCACAAGATGAATGGCCACATGAGACTGAGCAATCCTACTGGCAAACGCTGTGATTATTGCAGAAAGGCTATAATCAATCTTTTATCTGAAGTTTTCATCTAAAAAAAAAAAAAAGCCCACATATTAGACCCGCTGGTCATTTGTGGTTTTTGGTAATGTAGGATTTTATTAAAAATAGGCTTTATCAGATTATGCTGACAAATGTTTATAGTGTACAGCCCACGTGTAACGTAATTAAAAAAGATGGAGTGTGTGTGTGTGTGTAAGAGAGAAATAGAGAGGAGCAGGAGAGTGAAAACTCACTTCTGAAGATGAGTAACAGAAAAAAGGACATCCCTCGCAACATAATCTGAAAGAGAGAAAACACTTACAATCACAAACAAGTTATACTTAGAAAACATGTGTTCCATGTACAAAATGACATCTGCTGTTATTTACAGCCCGTTCTCTTCCCAAGGCTTCATCTAACTGACGCTTTTGACAATGCATCAACATCCGACGCTTTAGGCACCCTTTAGGGTCAGTTAGATGACGCTATCCTTGTGGTCTAGCCCTAACCCTACCACAAGACCTAAAACCTACCTGAGTCATCTAAGGCCATGTGTCCACCAAAGTGTTTTTCCACGCACCTGGCGTATGTTTTCAATTGTTTTCAATGGGAGCGCCACGTTTTTTAAACGTCATGAGCGTACCGAGGCACTGAGCGTTTTTTTCACGCTGAAGCGCCGAGCGCCCAGCGTTTTTACTGGTCGCTGGGAGTTGAAAAATTTTCAACTTTGGATAAAACGCACACTCTAAAAAATGCTGGGTTGTTTTAACCCAACTTTGGGTCAAATATGGACTAACCCAGCCGTTGGGTTAAATTTTTACATTACATTTTTAACCCAACATTTCGGGTTTGTCCATATTTGACCCAAAATTGGGTTAAAACAACCCAGCATTTTTTAGAGTGCAGCGTTTATCACTGTCACTTTTTAGCCAGCCGTCCAATCACAGTGGAGGAGAGGCGGGACTAATACCACACCGACCAACTGTCACAACATTCAAACTGCTGCGGATATTCTGTATCATATAGCAACGAAACGTCTCAATGGAAAAAACGCTGCGCTGCCAAAAAAACACTCTCAAGCGCCCAAAAAACAGCGTCTTCAGCAGAGCGTCTAGCGTTTTCAGCTGGATAAAAACGCTTTGGTGGACACACGGCCTAACTGACGCTAAAGGTAAAGCGTCAGTTAGATGACGCCCTAGGATAGCGGTATCTAACTGACATTAAAGGTTGCCTAAAGCGTCGGATGTTGACGCATGATCAAATGTGAAATTCCCCTTTTACAACCCATACTTCTAGATTGTGACTTTTTAAATATGTGAGAAACATGTTTGATCACACTTTAATTTAGGGAACTCATTTACTGTTAAACTCATAATTTACTGTAATAAGTTATAACCTTTACTAATTTACCTTTAGTAGGTTTTTGTTGTAGTGGATATGTTTAGGTATTGAGGGATGTAGAATATGGTCATGCAGAATGAGGCATTAATATGTGCTTTGTAAGCCAATAATATGCAAGCTAATAAGCAACTTAGTAAGAATTGGTCCCCAAACTTGTAAGCTTATTCATTATGGGGTTGTATGGATGGTTGGATAGTATACAAAGGTGTGTTATATACCTAAATGAACCGGACTAAACGGGAGTTAGCAAAGACAAAGTCTAAATGCACTAGTCAAAAGTTCGATTTTTTTTTCTTTTTTATTTATAAAAAAATAAAAATTTATATAAAAAATTATATTTATATAAAAAATTATTATAAAAATTTATTTATTTTATTTTTTATATATAAATTAGTATTTATATTCACCACGGATGTATTAAATTGATCAAAAGCGACAGAGATTTATTTTTTAAATGAATGCTGCTGTTGAACTTCGTATTCATCAACAAATCCTAACAATTGAAAAGAATATTGATCGGCATATTAGTTTATTACAACATTAGTAATAACAATATCAAATGTTTCTTGAGGGTTAAAATCAGCAGATTCAAATTATTTCTGAAGGATCACGTGACACTGAAGACTGGAGTAATGATGTTGAAAATTCAGCTTTTCATTACAGGGATAAATTACATTTTAAAATAGAAATAAGTTATTGTAAATTGTATTAATATTTCACAATATTTCTGTTTTTACAGTAGTTCTGATAATATAAATACAGCTTTTGTAAGCAGGAAAGACTTCTTTCAAAAACATTTTAGATTTAATTTTGAATATTTAGCAACCATGTGTGTCATTGTTGCCCGTAAACATTCTGCCCATGTAATGAGAGCGTTTGAGATGAAAGGTCTTGACATTTCCCGACGTTACCATTAGCCAATCAATTCTGAGATGTGGTTGTTTTAGAAATGTGTGCCTTTTGATCCATTAAAGCCAAACAATAGAAGGCTTCCAGTGTTTCTGATGGGAGGGGTTACTTAGCAACAGTGCTTAATACAAACACTGGATTATGACAAATCAGATGACAGGCCGCCATTACAGTCACCAAGCTCTCCATTAGTATAATCAAACTACTGCAGGACCAAAATACAGCAATCCTGTATAGGTGTGGAGAACAGACTGCGGCAGACTTGGCCAAAACTCACGGCTTTGAATATGAACCAATGATGGCCGAGTAATAGGGTGTCAAGTGGGGTAAGATGTGCCACTGGGTAAACTGCGTCATCCCTATATTAAGAAAACTGTGCACATATATTTAAAAATGATTTTTTACAAAGATGCACACCAAAATGATAAGTTACCATTTTTTCCATGTTAGATTTTCTATGCAAGTTAATAAAAGCCATGAATTCTTTAAATATATATATATATATATATATATATAACAATTTAAAATAAATGTTTCTATATTAATATATTTAAAATGTAATTTATTCTTGGGATCAAAGCTGAATTTTGAGTATAATTTCACCAGTCTTCAGTGTCACATGACCCTTCAGAAATCATTCTCATTGGCTGATTTGCTATTCAAGAAACATTTATGATTATTATAATCGATGCTTAGTGCTGCCTACTATTTTTAGGATCCTTTGATTAATTTGAAAGTTCAAAAGAACAGCATTATGCAAAGTATTCACTTTTAAATGCATTCTTTCTCAATAAAGTTCACTTTTAAATGGTATTAGCTGTAATGTAAACTTTGTCAAATGCTTCGGGGTAAGTTGTGCCAGTGTCAAAACATACAGTGATACCGTGATTTGCATTTAAATGCAGTATATAATGTTGCATCTTGTATACAAGTATTTTTTTTTTTCTAATAATGTGAAGGAGAGGCGGTTTTAAAACGTTAAGTAACATTACTAAATGCACTAATTACTTATATCACAAATAACAGACAATCAGTAACAAGCAATACAGATGTGTTTATTTATTTATTTTTATTTTTTTTGAAGTTGAAGTTATCGCACTGTTTGAATAGTTTCATGTTTTCTGCTCTGATTAGGTGACAATCGCAATACATTGTGCAATGATCTGCACGCAGAAACAGCTTCCTCTAAGCCGGAAGAAATGTGTCCCAATGTATGTTCAGCACATGGAGAACACAACCCACCAGGAAGCCTTTGTATCGAACTCAAGTTATAAACTTAATTAAGACAAGTAATGACTGTTGACATGCCAAAAGATGATTAATGCATCATATCAAGGCTTTAGTCAAACATTTTCTGAATAAATGAGCAAAAACTGTAGTACCAAAAAAAAAAAAAACTACACATAGTACTCTGCACTACTTCCTGTAAAGAGTAAACTGCTGCAGGTGTCATCACTGAATATTCACATTAAGTTAGCGTTGCAGAGTTGAACGTTTAGAACAAGCTAATCATTCCCATCTTTTATAACACTATTGAATGCAGAGATGATTCTGATTCACAAATAAATGGAGTGAATTTCTCAACGGATCGATCTATTAATGCCTGGAGACTGCAATAGTAACATTCATAACAAGGTGTTAATTAATTAAACACTGAATAATTGCAAGAGTGTCAGTGACATCAATTTCATGTTAAATATATCAATGTGATATAGTACTAAACTATGCCTATTTTCTTTCTGATTATGGAGTGAAACATAACCTATACCATTTCTACATGAAACACAGAGAAGCCTTGAAGCCTATCTTTTCAAACTATTCCAAACACTCGTAATATACTACACATTTATTTGTCCCTTTTCATAAATTCGAATCTTTTATTTTGTGGCCTCCAAGACCTTTTTTTTCATTAGAAGTAGCCCAGTGGCGTAGCCAGGGGAGGGGCCATGGGGGCACTGGCCCCTCCTGAAAACTGATTGGCCCCCCAGTGTGCCCCCACCCTTCTAATTGTCTGTCACTCAAAAATTCAAATCATAATCTTTCAGCTTGTAGTAGAATAATTCATGATTCCGCGTCGCGCGATGCTTCTCAAAACCACACGGTAAGTTGATATATTTTATACAGCTTATTATTTTTTAAGGAAAGACGATGTGTATTCACCCTGCTGAGGGGAATGTGATAAAGCCTGGAGTGGAGCGAAAGCACGTTCCTCTCTCCACTCTAAGCATTCTGTAATCACTTCGCTCATGGTCCACTCCGGTTTTTCAATTCCCGCTCACGGAAAAACTGCTCCATGTTCACTCAATTAGTCTTAGATTTTGAGAAGTGCATGTCAGGCTACTGCTCGCTCGTTTGCTGCGGTCGTATGATAGAAAACAGAACGCGGGTCAATATTGGTCGTTTCTCAATACCAAGAACGCAAACTTCGGAGAACGAACTCCCGAGGACGAGAGGACGCGAGTCCGGTCATTCTGCTAATGGAATAGCGCGTTCTTGATCGCGTCACTCAGCACGCGGCTACTCCGGTTATCTCTTATATGGTATAAAACACAACGTTGCTTCTTTTCATCAACAATAAAACGAAATACATATAAAACAGCACTCTGCCTCATTTAATTTATAAATGGACATATTATCATGAACAGATTAATGGCCACAAAAATGTGGTTCAGGTACTCACATTGACTATCTTCACTGCATATATTTATAACACGAAATATAAAACACAACCCTGCTTCTTTTTGTTTTCATTTTAAAAATGTGAAACATTATTGATCATTAAAACTGACATTTAACAAACAGACATGTATCGTTTTATTGTATTACACACAGTGAAGAGAATGTATAGTAAAAACATACACATAAAGAATATTTTATATATTTTAGAATATATAAAATTACAACCCTGTCTCTTTTGTTAAATGTCAGTTTTATTGATAATATCCCATTCAAAAGTATAAGTAGCCAGGCTATAATAAGCTATACAATGAGAAATAAAGTAAACAATTCAGTTAAACATAAGTCAGCTCTCTAATGGGATACAAAGTTAAAGTTAAATAGCCAGTTAAATATATAAAGTTATGAAACTTCACTTTTCCCTCAGCCAGTTAGCATTGTTTGGTCTTATAAGATAAATAAAAACATGCACTGAAAAGTTATGTAGATGGTTGATTAGGCCTATTTGTCAAGATAAGTAATTGTTTTTCATAGATTAAAATAGCTTTTAAATTACGCAAACTGGCAATATTAGATCGGTTTAAAACATCTCTCCTTAAAACGCTATTGGTCTCGACTATTTAAATAAAGTTACAGGAATATGACTTGGCCTAAAAAAAAAAAAAAAATCAGTCAAAAGAATTTTTTTAATTTAATCCCTGCATCCAGAAACATTCTCAAATAAAAAATATATAAAAAAGATAATTAAATAAAAATGCATGATTAAATAGCAAAATAAATAATTAATACTACTGGATAATTACGTCACTGTTTCTATGATCCACATATATTACATTAAACTAAATCATACCTTTTTGAAAAAGTAGCTATCTAACAAAGTATTATATGTCATATTTTACAATCAATATGCTCAAGACTAATTAGCCTTCCTCGAAATAAGCAGATTTGGTCTATTCATCAATGCAAATTTACTGCAACTGCTGAAATGCAAATTGAATAGGATGTGGGGAAAAAGATGTATACAATTTTATTACAGTTTTATGAATTCATTAATTGTGTATTTATTATATGAATGATTAATATAATTATGCAAATAAGGCTGTTCTATTATTATTTGTGAGTTGGACACTAATACATTGGATTATTTTATTTATTACAGTTTTTCTATCACTTTTGTAAAGTGAAAAGTTAATATAAATTGTATTTTATTGTTTTGATTTAGAGCAGTAAATAACTGCTATTAAAAGATAACAGGGTATCACTGTTTATTGCTGATTTTAAAGCTTACTGAACTTGAAATGATTTGGATATCTATAGTTCTACATAAATACACAACATAAGAATGGCCCCTCTGTAATAATTGTGGCCCCTCTTGTGCCCCCCAGTTGAAAAAATCCTAGAATCGCCCCTGAAGTAGCCACTTTGATATATGGAGGGCGAGCCTGTATTGAACTGTGGCTGTGTAACTGCAGGTGAGTGAATGTGTTTACCTGTTTCTAAAGACAGATCGTCCTCTGGGTCTTACATGATCGATGGATCAGATAAACCGAAAGGCTGGTCCACGGTGACCTCACATGCTTGGAGCACGTGTGCCTTCAACTAAGCATATCTCTACTTCTCTCTCTTTCACTATTGCTTTGTATTTCATCCTCACCAAGATCGAAATCTCCTAAAACAAGTCTACCTACAAATATTGACTGCTTTATTTGACTTACCTTGATGCTCATTTTGATCTGGCGTATCACATCCAATCAGATTTGAACAGTGTGCAGCATCTGTGGGTTTCTCATAACTGAGAGAAAATGGAAGTTGGGTAAAGGATTGACCACGCCCTTGTTGAACTTCCTCTAACGCTCAGTGGTTCTCACTGGTGCCGAGGCCTCTCACTCCATCCACATCTGCCAGCCCTCTTTCATGCCCGTCTCATCAGCTATTGTCTACAATTCAAACTGTGTTCATGCCAGCCTCCCTCACATTGTGCGTGTTTCATCACTAACTCATTGCCTAGGCAACTCACTCAGCTTCACGTCTGTCCATTCGAAATCTACCATGAGATCAAAATAAAGTCTGTATTATGAAGAACACAAATTAAAATCAATTTAATATATATTCTTTTGTTATTACCAATGTAGAAAAAACAACATATTTGTTAAGCAAGTATCATTTGTCAATAAAATGTGAACGTTTAAAAACCATGGACTGACATCGAACTCTTCGCGTTCAATGAAATGAATGTACTATATTTAGTTTGATAGTGTTTTTGAATTACTAGTTTGTATTTTTAGGTGATTTTATTCAACAAAATTATATTTATGCAGGAGTTATTATCCATTTATTCAGTTTTTGAGCATAGACCTAAAATTAACATTTCTAACTTAAACTGTCTAGTTCTTGAATGATAAGTTTGGTGTCTTTTTACAGATCACACCTTAAAGGAGAACTTTAAATTTTAAAAGAAATTTTAACATTGAGCTTATTTATTTATTTTTTATTATTATTTTTTTTTTTTTGCTGTCAGTACAGACAAAAACGACAAAAATCGGTGTTGCCTACACTGTGTTATCTTCTTTTTAAAATTTGCACCCTGTTGACTTCAATGGGGCATGTTATAAACCTGCTTTTAACCTCTTAACATCCTTGATTTGTCATTACGAGTGGTGTTATTAAGAGTGACCACCGTCAATATGACTGCAGTAGATGTGAAAGATATGAATAACAATGATGTTAATTCAGCCAGCTCACATACCTCTATTTTCTTCCTGTTTTTGGTCAAAGCCCACAGTAGTCGATTGTCGAGTTCATGTGCGCGATCAATGGTGAATATAATCTAATGTTTTTCAACATGAAGAGCACCAGATGGTTAAGTATGGATCTCAATCATATTAAAGGGTCATATAAGTCATATAAGTTAATATGAATCTTTAGGGTCTAAATGAAAATTTTCCAATATACTTTTATTAAAAAATCTCATTAGAATTGTAGGAAAACACGATTTTTACCTGGTCAAAAATAGCTATGTTTTCAGCACGCCGTTTCAGTGCATATGCCTTTAAATGATAATGAGCCTTGCTCACCTCACCCCGCCCCTCTGTTCTTTTTGATAATTATGATTAAATAAATCAGTGGTTTTGACACAACGCACATGGAGTGTTGCCTTGACATCAGTTGAAGGTATATTTTGGAAAGAGAATGGCAGCGGGAGTCTCTGAGGACACATCTGTGCAACCGCAGCCCATTATCACCCCCAAGGCGTCACTTAACTGACGGCTTTAGGCGCCCTTTAGCGTCAGTAAGATGACGCCCTAGGATCGCGTGTACCCTACCCCCACCCCACACCTAAACCTAACCGAGTCCTCTAACTGACGCTTTCCTTTAGCGTCAGTTAGATGACGCCGTAGGATCGCGTCATGTAAGTGAAGCTAAAGGGCGCCTAAAACGTCAAATATTGAAGCATGGTCAAAGGTGACGCCTTGGGGTGAGAATGCGTTGGCAACCGTATCAGTCAGACCCAGAACAAGATGGCGGCCCGAAGAAGTTGGACAATCAAGGCTTGAACAGGACGTTTCTGAATGGCAGGGTAACGTTAGAGTAACTTAGTGAGATGTGTGAACGCTATGTGTTTACTGATGTATACGTACTCAATAACCATAACGTGTTGTTCATTATCAACATGACATCATGACTTTTGCGTAAACATATTTGCCACTTTCGAGTCAGGTGGCGTGTTATCTCTACGCATTTTGAGCTGTATGTCTACGCCATTAACGTCCGTGTCATTCCGCGTGTCTGTACACGCAGTCAAATCTCCAGTCATAAATGCCATTAACCCCAGTGACGGTTAAGTTTAGGGATGGGGTTGAGGTAAGTCATATATTTATATAACGTTAAGTCAACGGCGTTCATAAACACGCTGAAAGGCGATTATGCGTCTTGATAGCACGCCAAAAATGGAAATACGAATTGGCGTGGCATACACACGCTACTTCATGAGATCAGTCTGTCATTATAAACGTGGGATTATGAATTATATTGAACGTTGTACAGAGAAAACCTTCCGCAATGTATCCTGAGTGTAAACCTTAGCCGCATTCATCGTGAAGCGTGCAAGCGATTTGCAAAGATTAATATAAAGGTTAATAAAACTTTACACTCACTTCTTCTGGAGGTGCAGCGGGAACACAAATAGTTGGTAACGATTGTTTTTCAGGAGTAAGTTAGCTTCTTAGCAAAACCAGCTTTATATTGATCCTCGTTTATAAAGCAGTCTGGTGAGAAAAGATTTGCGAATTGCGCAAACATGAGAGCATTGTCATTGCTCATGGGGAACATTCCCTTCGAAAACAAAACTCAGCCACTGCGTCTTCAGCGGTTCGGATTTAGGAAGATCAAGACTGCTGAGTTCGCTATTGCATTTAAAGGGACAGACACAAAAAACAGTGCGTTTTTGCTCAACCTCAAAAACATTCAAAAAAGTGATGTTATGTGCTATATAAAAATATCTGTGGGGTATTTTGAGCTAAAACTTCACATATACACTCTGGGGATAACAGAGACTTATTTTACATCTTGTGAAAATCTTGTACCACCCCTTTAAGTATCAACTTTTTCACATCAAATTCCTATTAAAAAAAAGAATGTTACGTATAAGATTCATATGAGATAACTGCTGATATAAGGTCTATATCATTAAAAAGGTAAATAAAGTTCTATCACTATAAGTGTCTAAAGATTTATGTTGAATACGCAGTTGTTGAAAAATGCTTGATTTCATTTACGATTAAAAAAGTAAAGTTGTAAATAAAACAGATCAATGTGGTGTGTTTTACAAGAGAATACTATTTTAGTATTTCTGCTTCAAAATCCAATGCATAATTCAACGTGTCACGTGATTCTTTGTAATTATTATTATTATGAGGAAAAATTGTTTGAAAATTTCTTGAAATGAAATCTGACTTGACCGCATGCTTTAGTATCTTTATAATTTGTAAAGCAGAAGACTTAAACAAAAATCTAATTTGTTCGCCATTCAATAATATTACAATAATGTAACAATATAGTAAAAATAGATGAGATATTAAAGATTGTATTAGAGAATATTTTCTCTTAGTTTGCACTCTTCTCCATAACCTCAGAGTGACATGCAGCAATATACAGAGTTCTCTGAAATCGAGAGGAAGGAAACCACGTAACCACAGCTTAATGTGGTAACGAAATAGAACACTACGTTCCAGAGGTTGTCATGACAGCAAGGACTCCTATAACTACAATTTCTTTAGATTACAATCACAAAACTATTGAAACATTTGTTTCTGTTTAGATGCGTTTAGCCCCATCAAAAGAGCTGTAATGAACATCAAGCGATCTCTGAAAATCCTCCTCCTACACGCTCCAACATTTCTTGAGAAAGAAATTAGATTGAACAATTCTCAAATGATCAACATCTTCATTGCTCTGATCCAATAGTACAGGGTTACGCATGATTGACTGAACCCACCTAGTATAGATCACTGCTATTATTGTCCTCAATATTTAAACACCTACTCATTATATAAATCACACTGAAAACTGTCTGTTCTGCAACAATAAACAATGGAAGATTTCCAGAATTCAGAACGCCTCGTCCCCATGTCACGTAGTCTACACTAACCCCCCGCAATCCCAGGATTCCTTTCCTTCCACAGAATGCTGCATATTGTCACAGTTTTCCCTTTGTGTTGTCAATTTTAAAATAAGACTTTTTAAATATGCAAAAAGAAAATAAAATGTATATTTTTTGCACCCTGTTTTTCTGGGTAATGTTATTGCTAGGGTTCTTTGGGTGGTTGCTTACTGATCATTATAATATATATTTCCTAGACATGACACAGGTTAAAGGGATAGTTAACTCAATTTAAATTCGCCATCATTACCTCACCCACAAAGTTGTTGAAATAGTTGAAACCAAATGGTTTCATGGACCCCATTGGCTTCCATAGTATGGAAACAAGTACAGTGTAAGTCAATGGGGTCCATCAAATGTTTGGTTAGCTACCGACATTCTTCAAAATATCTTCTTTTGTGTTCAGCAGCAAAAAAAAAAAAAAAAATTCATACAGTTTTGGAACAACTTGAGGGTGAAGAAATTATAACAGAATTTTGGGTCTCTAACTGTCCCTTTAAGGCACGTTCACACCAAGGACAATAACTATAACAATAACTATAAAGTTTTAATGGTCCCTCTAAAAACTCTAAAAGAAGTCCACACTACAACTACAACACTACACCAGAGGGGAATAATATCATTGCAATTGATTTCGGAGCAATTTTATTTCCAGCTGATGAACAATAAAAACGCTGATAGCCAACCAGAATCCATCCTGTTTTAAAGAGCTTGAGAATTTAAAGCGACAGAAGCCATAACTGCAGCCCACTTATAATAAACAATGTTATCATTCTTTGGTGTGGATGCTAATTAATTATTGGTATAGTTATCTTTATACTTAACGTTCTTGGCATGAATGGGGCTTTACTCTATTATTGTAAGCCAGTTATATATTTTCCCTGCCGTTTTATCATTCACCATAAAAAAATTGTAAGTCTGAAAAGCAATGGACCAAAAAAAAAAAAAACTTACTACAAAATTGAAAGTCATGCATATGATTTTTTTTTATTATTACTCATGTGCCCTTGTAATCTTCATAATCAAACTAACTCCCCCTCCCTCTTTCAGTGACATCTCTACTTTTCTCTTCTTTGATGACGTGTTTACTGACGTGAGGGTGGGGCAACCTGTCACTAGTATATGACATCACATCAATAGCAAACCACAACAATCCAAATCAATTGGCCTATGACTAAGCCACGCCCTCAAACGCGATGAGCCAATCACAGTGCACAGCTAACCCAATACACTCGGACATTCTCTGCTTCCACTTCCATTGAAATGCAT